AGAGAGAGAGAGAGAGAGAGAGAGAGAGAGAGATCAGTCTAAATGAGTGACATAAAAGATCTCAAACGACTTTATATCAGAACTTAAAGTTTTCGGATAATATGTTTATTGCAGAATATTCTCGTAAAATATAATATATGTTTTAGTAGTTTATTGACATCTATTTCGCTCAAATAATCATACATTTAATATCGTAGACGACTATTGGAAACGTTGCGAATTTTAGAAAATAATTTTTTTGTTAATATATCTGTAAATGACTTATTTGAAAATATTACTTCAATTATTGTTTTTAGTTTAGATAATTAATTTTATTCATTTATGGCTTATTTGCGACCCATTTTTCTATGAAATTAAGAAGACTAGTAAAACCATTGTTCAGTTAATTGTGGCAAAACATCTATAAAACAGTTTAATCGCAACATTCATTTATAAATATTTGATATTTATATAAAAATATAAAACAAACAAGATTAAATAACAATGTCCTTAATTACAACACATAAATAAATGATATACAAAACAATTAGGAAATGAAAAGGGTATCCGAAATAACACAACAAATCCAAGTGAATGGCTTCGGAAAGGGAGATAAGAAACAAACTCTCGTTGAATACGTGTATCAGACAAAGAGGACACACCTCTGGAAAGTAGAGGACTGTGTAAGCAATTCTTGTGTCCAATAATCTAATTAATTGTCCGTAAATTCATTGATCATTGAATTCTCACAAACAGGACATTCGTTTCAAGGATGGCTCACCATATATGCCAACCAATACATGCTATGTTATGGCCGTTCCTATTGTTCAAAAATCGGACAAAACTATACTCGGTTTGTACTTAAGTTATTCATTAATTACATTCTCTCTCTCTCTCTCTCTCTCTCTCCTTATTTCACAAAAAATATTTGACATAAATTTAAAGATTGTACTAAAAGTTTCAAAAATGACAATTTTCTCAAAATTTCACACGACTTATAGAAAAAATGAAATAATAATAAAAAAATATATATTTTTGCTTTTAATAGAAACTTACATTAGAAATATTATCTAAGATAAAGGCATTCCATTGGTTCGCATCGACAGCATAGGCGAGAGTGGAGGCCAGTTGTGTCAATACATTGATCTTATTGGGCTCATTGTGGTGCAGGTACTTCTCCAACTCCTCCAGCAATATGCTCTTATCATGGTAATTGTTGGACTGATTTAATCAAAATGGTCATTCATATAAATTGCCCATTAGTGTTTTATAAACTATTTTATAACATATTTCAGTAAACAAATATAAGGGGTTTAAATTTAGCTTAAAATATTCTGTAATAAATTGATTTATAATTTTAAATAGTATTTTTATTTATTTACTTGCTGTTTACAATAAATAATATAAATTTTTAGTTTGTAACATAATTTTAATATAATAATTACATTAATAAACTTTTTAACTATTCAGTTAGCCCATCACTTATTGTGAAAATCTATTATATTCCTATCCAGAATTGTAGTTAACTTATTGCATTGCAATCCTTGTTTATTCAAATGCATAATTATTACAGTATATTTGATAATTACAAAACGAGTATAACATTTGGGTCTTGAGTTTGCCTGTACTATGGCATTTAGGAGGGCATTATAAGTAATAAATATGCTGGTTATTAAATTACTTACAATTGTATTTGTGATTATATTCATGATAATTAAATAAAATTAAAATCTCTTGACTTACTATAAAATTTATCTCAATTTCCATTAAATTATCTCTAATTATCTCATTTTAAATACTGTCTAATAATACAATTGTTTGACATTTAGGAAAACAACCCGAATTGGCATAATTAGGACATGGATTAGTTTTTAGTGCATTTATTTTAGTAAATTAATTGTACTTTACTTTAATTCTGGCTTTAGTTAAGCTTCTCTTGCGATTATTTTGAGTCTTTTTAAACAACCATTTCTCTAATAAATCCGAATCGACGTGTTTTAGCACATATTGTTCGAGTAATTCCGGATTGGAATCCACTATATTTTCTAGTTGCTCCAAACCTATCATTTTAAGTACAATTTTGTAATAATGTAATATTGAATAACGTAAAATAATATATTAGTTGCATTAGTCTTGGTAAACGTGGCATGATCACGCGTTATCTACGTTCACTCACACACGTGAAAAATTTACAGACACCGTGAGTGAGTGTGATTCACAATTGACATTTTTCCAAATTACCAAGACTAATTTGCATAGTACAATTTATACTGTACTGACATAATGTTATTTAAATTATTGTATATTTAAATTAAACATATATTAATATTTATTTAATAGCTTTAATGTTTGAATTAAATTTACTTTTTTCTGTTCAAATACTGGCAGTGGTTTTGAAACCTTTAAATTGATTGAATAAATGTTGTATTACACAGTATTAAGTAATAGATTTTAGTAGTAATACAAATACAATGGAAAAATTTTATTAAATTATTCTAAAATTTTTGACAACAATAGATTTATGAATAAATAGAGAGAAATCATCGTTAGTTAAACATAATTTCTATGTAAAACATATTTAATATTTGTTTAAATATATGACATAACTGTACATAACTTAATATAAGGTACACTATCTGTGCGATCAAAGCATTGGAAGTCGTCATAAATAAGCAAAAACATTAGAAATGAGGTTTTTTGTGAGGATATTATTCTGACTTTAATTGATTGTATTAAATGTATAAACATATTATAATTAAAACTTTTGTTAAGACCTATTATGTTGGGCTCAGACAACAACCCCATGTGATATGTTATTCATGTATTGTAAATGACATGAAACACAAAAACATAAAACAACAAAAGTTTTTGCCTAAAAATTCGTGAGAGAGAATAGGATTGAAATAAATACACAAAACATAAAAACAGATAAATTAATAATAAAAAGCTATCGTAAATGTATTTACACATAAAATCCCAATACAAATAGCGTAATAAATATTTAGACCAACAGTTTTCATGCATACAGTGAAGCATAAAAATAAATTACATGACATTTAAAAGCAATTAATACTATAATTCTTGTTATCACAAGAATATAAAATAATAATAATAAACGAAAAATTTAATGTTAAGAAAGAAATAGATTTATTTAGCGATTATATCTATTGAGATAAAAATGTTAAAAACTAATAGTTTTTATTCTTATACTGTATTATAAGTTATAATAGAGAGATAATGACAAGTAAAATAATAATTATATTTTATTAGCAAAAATATTTTCAAAAATCATTTATTTTTACAAATACTTACTCATTATCATGAATATAGTGAAGGAATTCAAAAATCATTAATGAATTTCTTTGATGCAAATTATATGCGAGTATAAGAAAAAAGTGAAACACAATCTATTAGTCTATTGACGTCTTTATGTCGAAAATTATATGAAATATTTCATAAAAAAACATCATAAAAGTGAATAATTAATATTCATATGTATCGGTGATATACTCTATAGAGTACGGGTTGTGGCGGTAGTTATGGTTCACTAACTAACCGTCATTACAATAATGAAGTAATTATATCATTGAAAACTATTTCATAGACACATCTTATACACCACTCGAAGCACACGAGTGAGCATTTATTACCACTTTATATATAGATAGACACATAAAAGCACATCATATATAATAAATATGTTTATAATATTATTATGTTTACTACGAGATGAATATCACGCATAATATATTTATTATTAAAGAAATTTATTTAATAATAATATTAATATTATTCTTGATATACGAAATAGCGATGCATTCAATACAGTATTCACTGAAATACTGAATCACAACATGTGAGAGACAAACGCTTTCATATAATGTAAACGTTTGGTTGCAGTCGTTCTCCAATCGAGAGTATGTTGTATTCAATCACTACTGAATGCAACAAAAAAATCAAATCAAATGCAATGAATAGTTGGCAGAGAATTAGTTATAGAGAGAGAGAGAGAGAGAGAGAGAGAGAGAGAGAGAGAGTCTAGTTGTCTATTCATTGGAGTAGTGATTGTGTAATAATAATTGTCTTCAATTGTCATTCAATCGCATAAAACAAATATACGGTAGAAATGAAAAGTTAAATAATAGGAGAAGAAGTGTGAGAGAAGAGTGAGAGAAAACAATTGACGCGATAAAGTCACAGAAGTTATAATCCTTTGTATATTATCTAATAATATACTGGTATTGGCAAACACTTCACTAAATATCGGTAAATATTATTGTTTTCGATAAGAAAATATCTGTATGTATATAAGTGTTGATATGTTGTGTCGTTTATATTGAAAATATAGTGTATATTATATAAAGTATACAACAGATAGTTAGATAAGTTGTGAGAGATATACCCCCATAAGCAGCGCATCGCCCCTACATATGATCGGATCGGTGGCGGCGACGGCTGTCGCCAATCACCTTGACTTCGAAGGCTGTGTACTCTTTCATACATGTATTGCCTGTAGTTCTCTCTCTCTCTCTCTCTCTCTCTCTCCAATGACATAATCTCTCATATGATGTGTACAATAAACTATCGGTATAACAAAATTTCGATAATAAAGTTTACATTGGATTTATAAAGATCTCTATCAGTCATATAAATAAAATTCATTTCAATTAATACCTGTCTTTTTCAACACAATAGTTAGAAATACTTACATATTCTCACACTATGTTTGCAATTATTAATTAATTGATTGGCACATTGTATCCAGATTTTAATGTACAGATAATTATTATGTAATTATAGCAACAGATGTTTTAAATTTTAAAATACTTTTTAAAGTTAGAATAAACTCAAATATTTTGACTGTCAAAAACACATTTACAGTATTTAAAACAATTTGTTTTAAAAACCAAATTTTGACCTTACATTTGATGTCTGTTAATAATGACATTAATCACATAACGCGTCTATAAATTGGTTTTAAAAACTAATTTATATTAAATTATTTATAGTTTATTATATTAAGTATAATATATTGTGTATAACAATAATAATATGGTATTATATGTATTCTTTCATTAAATATATTTCTAATGTATAGAATTATATCATTTGTATGGTTTCACTGGAATTCACAATAGATTATGTCATTTACGAAAAATTATTACTATAGGGTATTGCAAAAGGACTTCATGTACAGTATTATGCAATTGTTTCAATTGTTTTTAGCAGTAATTTATCTCAAATTATGACACATTACATGTATTTCTAGTTAGATCTGACATAACAAGCGATGGCCCGAAATATCATGTGTTGAACACATATATCGATGATATAAAAGCAGTAAATATGAAAAGGTTTTCCGACTTTTTTCAACACTTAAATTCATAACCGATTAGATTTGATCCCCGCTATCAGTGTGTGAGCGTGTTTAACAAGATATGCACATGTTTTACTCTATACATGGTTATTTGTTTTACTCTTTACATGCGGTCATTTATTGAGTTAATTTGTATATTTGTTGATTTCATACCTTTTTAATCGGCACAGATATTAACATATTTATTTTCAAATATGCTACTAAATTACCAAACAAATAAATATTGACATTTATTTTTTTACAAAATAAATCAATATAAATTTGAGTAAGATACATTAATGTAGTACAAAATCTAGCACCATTGTCATTTTGGGACAAAACAAAGTTCATCGATAGCGGTTTGTAGTAAATATTTAGTGTGTGCTGTAATACAGCTACAGTATATAAAATGCATTTTCTATAGATTACAGCAATTAAATTTGGTTCAATGTAAATAAAATGACATTTTTATATAATGCAGTTATTATTAATTACTATTTAATAATTAGTCGTTAAAATTACAAGCGATGGTGTGTTGTGTCACCCCCTCTGCACATCTCTGTTCACGTGTAATATTTAGGTCCTCTTCAGTCAAACAAATACCTGTCTTTCAATACTTTCAGTTTTTTCTCACGTCTCGAGTAATAACAAAATGTGAGAAAAAAATGTTAACACATTTTGCTGTCAATCATTTGTTTTTACATTTATTCAGTTCAACATTTGTTGTCTACTAATGTTTGCGATATAATTGTGTAATTGAGTACTAATTCAATGGAAAAACATATATTCCTAGTATTGATTTGTTGACACATTTTAAACACAATACTTTTGAAGAATATTCTGGTGTAAAGTAAGTGTGAGTATGAGAGAGAGAGAGAGAGAGAGAGAGAGAGAGAGAGA